TCAAATTTATGAAAGATGTCATTCTTCATCTCTTCTAAATCTTTGGCTCGATCCCTTTCTCTTTGTATTTCATTCATGATCTCGCGGTGTTCAGCTTTGTGTTTTATAATTCGCTCTCTTCTGTCAACCTCAAAATCTTCCATTTTTTGCTTTCCTTTCTCAAGGCTTTTGAGTAGACGGCTATTCTTTCTTTTCAGATCTTCAACTCGATTTTTCTCGATGTTCAAATCTCTGGTCATCTGTACTGTTGATTGGCTCGGTCCTGATGCTTTTCGGGATTTATATAACTCCTGGTAATTTTTCTTTAATGTTCTGAATTCACCATCAACTTTTTCTTTGTTTTCTCTCAACATTGCACATTGTGATGAATGAAAGTCAATGTCAATACCCAACATAGCTTTATCTCGTCTCATTTGCTCTAATTCTCTCGACCAACCTTCTCTTTCTGCTTCAAACTCAGCTCTCAGGATTTCAATTTCTGATGGAACCACCTTAATGGGATCTTCCATAGAGATATCCTCATTTTGGTCTGGTAGAGGAATATTTTCATTTTTCCTGACAGATCTCCATTCCTCATAATCAGGAGTTAGCATTTCTTTTGCTGCTTTAGCTCGGATACAAAAAGTTGTTTTCCAAGCTGTAAAGGCTTCCATGATATTTCTTTTATAATTTTTGCTGTGGAATGCGAACTCAGATGAATGTAATCCAACAGTGATATGTATAAATTGACGACCTTCATACTGTCTTATGACCAGAAGTGGTGCATATCCAATTCCTCCCCACAATCCGAGCAGCATTATCCAGTTGTAATCACCACATTTGTAAAAGAATTCCCTTTGGATTTGCCACGGGGCTCGCCAAACAATGTCATCGCTTTGCAGATTTCGAAAGGCATTAATCCACATATCTTTCGTAATTTCTTTCGGCCATTCTTGCTCCAGAAATTCTTTTAATGGTGAATAATCCGTATTAAAGCGTCGGTATGAAACCTTTTATGTCCTCCAAAAATGGCTACGGATCCAGACATATAACAATTGGGTACACCCTGAGAATCTTCCACCTCCTAGCTTTCTACAAGCATTTAATGATCTGAAAGTCTCTACTAGAATTCCAGATGCAGGATTAATCTTTTTTGGTAGCTGCTCAAACAAATCTACTACTGCAGCTTCAATATATCCAAATACTTTTGGGAAGATGACCATACCATACATACCCAGAGCAAAGAGATCGAATCGTACTTTAGTGTCTAGATGACTCTGAATAAGTTCTTTAATGTTGGTCCAAGCAATGCCTTCGCTTTCGCCCTTTTGTTTTGTACGGGATACCACCCATTCCTCTCGTACTCCAACAATCTTTGCTAATTTAACTCGAAAAGGTTGAGTTTTAATTGACCTTGAATAAATTCGATTCTCCAAAGCCCCTTCTATATGTAGTAAAGTTGTGTACTCTTCAATAGTAGGAACCAAGTCCTTCTTATTGAGAGTGAAGCAATTGTACCCTGGATTCCAGAATTGAATTAGGGCTCGAAGTAAGTCATCATCAACTTCGACATAGAGCAAATATGGGATGTCTCCGTAAGTCTGATAAAACTGTAACTTTTTGTTTGAGTCCCAACTCTCCCAAATGCCTCGCAAATCTCGTATATCATTTCTTTTTAGCGAAACTGGAGCATAACTGGTTAAGTCAGATACATAGTCATCCTGCAGACTGTCTCCTCCTTGTCTTTGTAAGTCCTCAGCCCACTGTCTTACTTCTGAGTTTAGAACTATTTGATTTGAACACTTTTTATCCATGGATGAAGGTTTTCCAATGAGACAATTAACACGAGGATCAATGCCTTTTATCCTGTATGATGATATGCAAACAGAAGAAATAAAACACACAAAAAAATGAATTAGTTTACATAATAAAGGAAGAATAATTTGATAATTATGTCTACCTAAATATTTCTATTTAAACATGCTTTCTTCATACTTTAAATAATTTAAATTCACATGCAATTTATTCAGTAAGAAAATAAATAAATAAATTAAAAGGAAAAGTTAAAATTCATTTCTCCTGTGTTTACACCTATTTTGAACAAAATTTCGGCATGGCTTCAGATCGGAAGAGTTTCTAGGGTTTATTATATGTAGGGTTTCAGATCTAAGAATAAAGGTACCTGAATTGTCCTTGTTAGTGCCCCCTTGGGCTGTTAACCCTCAATCCTAGTCCATCACAAACTAAAGTGGATCGAGTTCAATTCAAGGGGATACACTTCTCTATTCCTGACACGGAGAATAAATTCTCACGAAGACATAGAGCATATAAACCCCGAAAGTTACTTGCTAGGTCTGACACGGAGAAAAAATTCTCACGAAGACGTCGTTTTCACTCCCACTTAAAAGGGACCAACTCAATTATAGAGCTTTATGTTATGCAATGCAAGTGTTGTGTGTGAGGAGAAATGTTCAAACCTCTGACAGAAAAATAAAATAATTAAATAAAATATTTGCAAGTAAAATGAAATATTAATATAAATACTATAAAAATAATAAGTATATAAAAAATTTGAAAAGAAAGAATTATAAATTAAATATATGATTTTTAAATTTATAATTAATAGAGACAATTTATAATTGTTTTTTAAAAGCCTGACCATCCCCAGCGGAGTCGCCAAACTGTCGTAACCGATTTTCGTCCGGGCACGAATTTTTTACTTAGCGGGAAAAGTGATGTGAATAAATGGTTTTTTTAAATAATTTGGGAGTCGCCATCGGCCTTTTGGATCAGGTAGGTCGAATACCTAAAAATCATCTTTTAAAAGAGTTTTTCAGAAAACATCGATTAAAAGATAAACTGATCTGCGTTTTAACAAAAAATTCATTCTTTTTAATGATAAAAAGGGATTCGTGGTCGGTTACGTTTAGGGAAGGATTAGCACCCCTACAACGTCCAAAATTGGTACTTTTTAATTATACATTATCTTTATTATTAGAAATTTAAAAATTCAAAATATATTTAATTTATAATCCTATTATTTTAAAATTATAATTATGAAAAATATATATTAATTTATATATTTATAAATAAAATATTTATTTATTTAGAAATATCAAAAAATGACTTCTAGGTGTCTTAAGACAGTTCTTTTCTTTGATATTAAAAAATAAATAATTAAAACAATTAATATATAATTTATAAAATAAGATATTTATTTATTTAAAAATATCAGAAAATGGACATCCAGTTATTTTAAGACTGTCCTTTCTTAATATTGGAAAATAAATAAATATTAAAATATGATTAAAATGATTTAAAAGTAATATATTACATTTATAAATAGGATTTTTGTAAAATAAATAAATATTATTTATTATATATATATATACATGAATAAATAATAATAATAATAATTAAATATATGAACATATATTTTTTAAAATTTAAAATATAAATAAACAATAACTAAAATTAACATTAAATATATAAAAAGTAATAAGACTTTAAATAAAGGTATTAAATGGCTAAATTATAACATTTTAAAATTAGATACCTAATTTATAAATAATTATTTAATATTTCAGTGACTAAACATGCAATTTTTCTTATTTTTAATTTAGGGACTAAATTAAAAATATATAAAATTCGAACATCAAATTAAAACATGTTGTTCATGATTAAAATATTAATTATTAAAATTAAAGGACTAAATCTGATATTTTATTTTAAATATATATAATTACGGTTAAGGGCTAAAATATAAATAAATAAAATTTAGAGACCAAATTAAAAGGATCATAAATTTGATTCAATGACTAAAATGTAAAACATATAAAATAGAGGGACTACGGACAAGGTTTAACGTTTAAAAATTACACACATACCCCTCCCCAAAACGACGTCATTCGAGGAGGGCTATTTAAGCCCAAAACGGCTGGCCCGAAGGGCCAGCTCTCTTATTTATCACTTTCTTTCCTCTCTTTAAAAGCGGAGAGAGAAAAATTCTCTCTGGCTTCTCTCTAGCTTCCCTCACTGGAGGGAAGCCGGTCATCGGCAGGCAGCCGTATACCGCCGCCGGCCACCGTCTCTGGTGGCCGGAAAGTTTCGTTTTACATGAAAATAAAGGCCTTCTCTTCCTAAGGCCAAATCTGGCTTTAGTTTATCGAGGCTCCAAGGGTAAGTTTCCTTTCTTCTCTCTTTTTTAGTTTCTTTTGTTGCTTCCTCCCTGTCCCCTCCTTTGTAGGTGGGTCGAGGCTTTTATAGCCTCCACGAGATGCGCCTCGGACCGGTCATAAGAGTGAAGCCCAGTGAGTCACCAAACCTATGGTGGTGACTCACAAAAAACAAGCGACGTGTGCGGCTGTAATGGATCTTCTGGAAACTTTGACGGGGCATCGTGGCAGTGGCGGAGCGAAGTGGAGCGGCTGGAAGTAGAAACGGCGCCGCGTGGTCCCTAGGGTATCATCACCTTAGGGTTTGTGCTGGATGCGTGTGGGCCGTTGGATCTCTCAGATCCAACGGCTGTGATGCTGAGGCGGCTGGATGATGATATGGAAACTCTAAATTGGTTTTAGGGTTTCCTGATGGGTTTGGGCTTGGTCTCTTGTAACTGGGCTTGTCTGGGTTGGGCTGGACTTGGCCTGTTTGTAATAATAATAATAATAAATAAAATAATAATAATAATAATATATAAAATAATAATAATAATAAATAATAATAATAGAAAATGGAGAAAAAAATAGTATCTTCAACTTGTAATGAAGATATGAAATATATCAGAAAAAGAAAAGAAAATGCATCTCACCATTAATCAAACACGTAAAAAATACGTGCATGATCAATTATCAAGTGACAGATTTCCATCAGATGTACCAATCACGGAATGCATGCGTGCTTAGGAGAGAAAACATCTCAGGTCATTAATTAAATGCTAAAAATCTGGCTTACAGTTGTAGTACCAAAGTTCTCTAAAGCTGTTTTAAAACTCATGAAGAAAAAAACTAATGCTTTTACCAAGTCAAATAGCTCAACCTTACTTTTTGTCTTCTTTCTCAGCCTCAGCTGCCTTCTTCAATCTGGCACCAATATGGCGCTCATTCATCCGTTCAACACGAAGCTTGTTGTAGGCCTTGAATGACTTCATCTCCTCGGTAACCTTCACCAGCTCAACAGAAGGCTTCTCACGAGAAATTGGCAGGTATCATCCTTTGACTTGGGTTGCAGTTGCAAGCTCCTCGGCAGTAGAATCACCAGCCTACTCGGAACAAACAACATTTAAGAACACACGAAACAAGTTTCAAGATTCCACAAAGTTTTACCTTAAACTTGTGAGTACGTCTTGGGAAGACAACAAGCTTGGCCTTGTACGTCTTAAGCCTCTGAAAATTGGCTTGAAGACCTTCGAGAGATCGGTTCTTGCGACGGTGATCGACTGCAATACCAATGGTAGGCGCAAGCTTCTTTGAAATACCATCAGCTTGATCAGAGAAAAGGGTTCCAAACGGCACATTCAATAAAGCCATACACAAACAATATCAAAACAAGAAATCCATCTTATCTAAACAAAACACCCATTTACAAGCTAATAAAGACCAACAATAAGATTCATTGTTCTAGGTAGTCAACAAGGATGTTCATGATATCTAAACTGGATCAAATAGAAAACCCTAAATCTATATAAGATTAAATAGAAAAAACCCTAAAACAGGAAGGAATAAAAGAGCATACTTTAAGCTCTTCAAGAGTGAAACCCTTGCCAGCTCTCAACTTCATGTTGTACTTCAAAGTCTGACCATGGAAAATGGGACGTAGGGGTCCAGAAGTTGGCCTTGGGAAGATCCTTACAGCCTTCTTTTGCCTTGCTGCAAATCGCAAAACCCAAATCACAAATCAAATTTCAGCAGTTCAGGAAACATTAAAACGAGTTCACAAAAACGGATAAAGATAAAAACCCAGAGTAGATTAGCTCACCGATTCTTCTTCTAGCCTTTCTTGCAGGCTGATTGAACCATGTTTTCACATAGTTCTGCCAATGCTTCTTGAAATGGCCATTCGGTATAACATTGTTATGCTTAACCATAGCTTTCCCTGTGATTTAGTATGAAAAAAAAAGAAAATGATAATATCAACGAGAAAACAAAATTGGGGGGGAAAAAGAATCACAGGAAACGAAAGGGAGAAGCTTTGGCTGTGATGCTGACCAGAGACAAATGGAAGAGAACGGCGCAAAGAAAAACTATAAGCCCTTAGCATCTTATTAGGGGTTTTCGCGATAGTGATGGGTTTGCCTCTGTATTAAGGGGGTTTTATTGAAATTGAAGATCAAACAATATTTTTTTTATAATTATCGATATATGATCTATTAGGCGACTGATCAGTTCAAATATTGAAAATCCTCCCAAACCAACAATATTTGAAAAGAACAAATTATAAAGGTCAAATTCTATACAAGTCCTCATAGTATGTCTTTTTTTACAGGTTTAGTCTCTTTAATTATAGTGTAGTTGATAATGGGAGAGTATGAGTTTTATGAGAGAAATATTTGGTCCTATATATTTTTCTAGTTGATGATTGATCTATGTTAGTCGATAGTTGTTTTAAAGCCTCAATTATATTCATCATTGTTGTATACAGAAACGATGATGGTATATGAAAAGATTATAGCACCATTTTTGTATTGGTCCATTATTTACTTAGTCATGGGAAGGTTGACGTGTAGTTTACTGGAGTCGATTGACCCCATTTGGGTTTAGAAAATCCTTGTAAAAAGAAAATTTGGGAGAAACAAATGATATGTACTTGAACCCACTTGATCCCACTTATATTTTCTTGAATCCACTTGATACGAAATCTAAATCTGTCATTGTATTTAGTAAAACCATTGCAGCTATCTTTTTCAAATATGCATGGATAATTATTGGTGTAAATTTTATTGTTGATGTGAAATACTTTTTTACTTAACATCATGTATGTTACATGCCTTCAATGCTACAATCATTATCCTTATACCAAAGACTCATATATTCACTATGGTAAAGGACTTTAAACATATATTATGTTATTCTATTGTATAGAAGACCATTACTAGAATGTTAATGGATAGACTGATTATCTTATTCCTTAACATGATCCCATTGAACCAAATGTATTTGTAAGGGAATGAATATTGCATATAATACTCCTGGTGCAATAGAGATAGTTAAAAGGATATGAAATGAAAGGGTTTCTCTCTCTCTCTTAAATGCGTGTTTAAATTAAACTTATAAAGTGATTTTAGTGGTTAATAGGAATGTTTTTTTTCTAGAGGTCTTGGATTCAAGTAGTTGTGTCTACAGGATGTGTGTTGTCAATTGGTTAAGAAAATTACAAACAAATACTATCTTATAATCACCTCGTACTATTAAAAAAAGATATATGCTTAAATTTGATCTACGTAAAGACTTTGACCCTCTTAATTAAAGTTTTATACTTTTGGAAGCTACAGGGTTGTCTAGTAAGTTTGGAAAATAGATCAAAGTTTAAGGATCAATATAAAATGAAGATTATAGTTTGAAAACACATCATTCAATTAATTCCAATAATAATAACATCAATTAAATTAATATTCAGTCTATCATATTAATTTTAATCATATATTCATTTAACACGTGAATTTGGATTTAGTATAAAAAAGTTACACGAATTTAGACGTATGGTAAAATATTATATTTTTATGTTGCATACATATATAATTATTGGTGCATATATATTTGCCTAGGGTTCCCCCATGTCTTTGAAGGAATAGCTCCCTGCCCCTGGATTATAGTTGTTCAATGAGAACATGTACGCCTGGTTTTGGTGCTGCAATTGAGATACCATTTGTTGTTGATATTGCAAATGAGACATATCAGCCGGAGGAACCATCAGTGAAATACCAGCATTAACATGGGGTTGCTGCCGTTCTCCGAAACCGAATCCGAGATTTGGTTCACCGAGGTGAGGTCCGGGCCCAGGAGGTGCCGCCGCCGAAGCATTAGGACCAGCAGTGAAATGTTGAACCATGGCTCGGAAATTTTCCACATCCGTGCTCACCAAGGTAGGAGGGGTTCGCCTCGAAGCCCTTGTACGACTTCGAACTGGCCTCCCGACGCGGCGGCCGTCGGGTATCAAATTACCACCAGCTGAACCGGGAGGAGTAGACATTGTAACACTAGAAGAGCAGAAGAGAGTGAAAGTTCAGTGGTATATATTTTATGGAGGCTTCAACGTGGTCAAAACCGAATATGTTAGAGAAAATGAATGAAGTGTTGAATGTTTCTTCCTGGAAGCAGCCATTGCCTATCAGGATAACGTCAGCCATGACCTCTTTCTTTATAATATAGTTGATTTTGAATTGATCGGTATTTTCGAAAATTTAAATCTTTATATAATTTAGATATTATATTTTTATTGATAATTTAATTTATATTTCTAAAATTTTATAATTTTACATCTCTAAATTTTTAATAAATAACTTTTTAAATTCGTATTTTTTAACATAAACTTTTACATTGCATATATGGTCTTACATTTAAAATCAATTATTTTTAGATATAATAATCAAATTATAAAAAACTTAAAATAAACAAAAACGAATTTGTTGATAAAAATAAACTAAATGAATATACTTTGTTCAAATTTAATTTAATTAAAAATGAGTCTCAAAAACCCATTTAGTGATCTTAGTGGTAAAAGAGAGTGTTATTCTCTCTTGAGATTTTAAGTTCAAGCAATTGTATCCGCAAGATGTGTGTTATTAATGGTTAAGAAAGATTATAAACAATTAAATAACAAGATTTTAGGTAATATGTAATTTATTACATGTCTCTTGAATAATTTTAATGATTATAAGATAATATTTTTTTATAATATTTCTTAATCATTCACAACAAACATGTCACAACTGTTCGAAATCAGAACTTCTAGAGAATTATTTTTGAATTATTAAATAATTAAAAACATGATAAAAGACATTTCGAGTCAATCGGTCGAACTAATTTTATTTTATTTTATATTTTTTTATTAAAATTTATAAAATTTTGATTCAGTTATTATTAAACCAACATGTCAATTGATTGAATCAAACCAATAATTTATCAAATTTAACGTAATTAATTAGGTCTCTAGCCCATTACAATACTTCTAATTTTTTAAAGTTTTGAGTTCGAACACAAAATTATATTGTATTTGCTTTGGACTAATAAAAGAAAACATTAACTAACTAACAACCCAATAACCACCTATCAGCAGCCCAACTGTTAAGGTCCACATCTAAAGTTAATTACGTCTTTAGAAACAGATTTGTCATTTTTAAAATAAATTATTCTATTAAAATATTATTATAGATAGATCACTATACTAATAAAATTAAAAATGACACTTAATGTGGTATAGTATAATAACATTTCTAGTCTCAAAACCTATACATTATATTAATTTTATTCTCGTTCAAAGCAATTTAATAAATTTAATTCTTCATATTTAAAAATTTCATCAGTTTAGTCATTTTTATGATACCGCCAAATTTAGGGAGCCCATCATATCAATACAATAGTTGGATAATTGTATTTTGTCATAATGCAACAATAAGTTATTATTAAACTGTTATTATACCAAGAAAATAACATAACATTTATGGTAGAAGAACGAAGATAAAATGATAGAATTTCTAAATATAAATGATTAAATTTATTGAATTATTATAGATTAGGACCAAAATGGTAAATTGTATATGTTTTAAGAACTAAGACTATTATTATATTAGGTCACGTCATTGTTTTGTCTAATATTTAACGATTGAGTGATCTATTTAAATAATATTTTAATAGAATGACATGTTTGTAACTTTTAAAAAAGAAAGTAACAGATTTATTATCCAACATATAATTAAGTGATATTGGGTGTAGTTTTACGTATTATATTATATTACATATAATTAAGTGCTTAGTTTAAAAAAGCACCGCTTAAGCACGATTAAAGCGCTAAGCGACTCGAGCGAGGCCCCTGGCGCTTCAGCATAGCAAAAGCACTACGAATTCATTAAGCGGTAGTAATCGACGCTTTTAAAAGCGCTAATCGACGCTTAATCGCGAGTTTAGAAGATACGATTCTAGGCTTTAGTAGATACGATTTTTGGGCTTATTTAGGGTTTAGCGGGCTATTAGATTATCAGTTTTGGTTTTTTTTTTCTTGTAGCTTCACACTAAGAAACGAAACAGATTGGCACAATCTAGATTGAATGACATGGTGTTTGTGAAATTCAATCATGCCTTGGAGCGCCGAGCTAAAAGTAAGGAGACCGATCCCATTCTTTTGCAAGATATTGATGAGAGCAATGAGTGGTTGATGGGAAGAATGGAAGATGATGAAGATGATGATGAGCCGGTGTTTGTTTGTGAGGATTTGACATAGAGTGATGTTGCTAACGCTTCCGGTGCATATGAGCCTAGTTATCTAACTAGAGCATCAAAAGTAGTGAATGATAGAGCCGGACCATCGAGAAATGATAAAGGAAAATCTCCTGCTCATAATCCTATCTCTAGTAGACCATCTTGTAGATGTTTAGTTGATGAAGATGAGATGGAAGAAGATATTGGAGTGTCTAGTGATGAAGGAGATGGTGTTGTCCGAGTTGATGACGATGATGATTTAGAGGATTTTTAGTTATAAGGAATTGAGGGTTTAGAAAAATACTTCTGTTCATCTCACTTTAGACTACTTTTGGTGTAGACCATCTTTTGAGATTAATATGCTCGTATAGTCATATGGTTAATCATATATAAGTATTTAAGTGTTTATAACTTATAAGTAAATTGAGAATTATATTTTGGTGTTTAAGTACTTGTAAGATTTGAATATATGTATTGACACTTTGATATTTAAGTATTTATAAGATAATTTATAAATATTTTATATTTTTTTTGTGAATTTTGACCTTTTTGGCGCTTCGTGTGCATAAAGCAAACGCTTTCGCTTAGCGTTTAGCGCTTTGGCGTCTAGGACCCTAGGCGCTTTACGCTTTTTAAAACCAAGATTAAGTGATATTGTTTAATATATTACATGTAATGCTATTTTTTAAAATTATCATTTAACTATAATTTTAATTTTATAAAAAAGGTTTACTTTATAAAATTAAGTTTAAAACATTTTATTTTTAATTATTAAAATAATTTTAATTCCAAAGTAATTCGACAATCATTTATAGATTAATATGGATATGTTAAAGGTGAGCAAGTAGATTAAAAGAGTAACATGTATGGATGGATCGGAAGGGATGGATGGGAGAAATCGTAAATTTTCCTATATTTTAATTTTTTGTATATTTTTTATTGATAATTTGTTTTCATCCCCTTAAAATTATATAAATTAACTTTAATATAAAATTTTATAAGTTCATCCTCAACATAAAATCATGTGTCCGTCCTTGATTACATACGTATACGCATACAACTCATATTAAAGAAGATAGTTATATATATATATATATATATATATATATATATATATATATATATATATATATATTATAAAACTTTACATTACGACGATAAGTACCACTATAATATTATAATTATTCAGGTAATATCATAATATACAATTACTCAAAGTCTATTTTTCAAATATTATAAGCATATAATTTTTTTTATATTATACAATTACTCAAAGTATAATTTGAAATTTAATTTTAAAATATTTTATATTCATATATTAAAGGATAAACTACTTGAATGACCACCTAACTCTGGGGTTAGTGTTGATATTACCACCATTTTCAAAATTTCGTCAATATGATTGTCGCGGCCGTATTTCGGTTAGGTCCAGAATTGGACTTCGACTTGAATAATTGGGTTAAAGTCGCCACCGATCATTTTAAAAACATTTAGGTGAATCGGACACCATCTTACTTGATCTGCGATTTACCATAAATATGTCGGGTTCGGGAGTCGGTTAAGGTCAAGGAATGATTAACACCCTTGAACCGCCCTTTCGGTACCAATTAATTTGTCGGTTGTCTTTAATTGCGAAAATTAAAAATTGAAATTGAAATTTAAAAACTCAATACAAACTAATTACCTTTGATCGATTGAAATTGTCCTAAAAATATCAAATTACTGTTAAATAATAGAATAACATAAAATAAGACGAGAAAAAAATATTAAATAAAAAATATTGAAGAGATTAATGATTAAATTAAAGTTAATTGAATGATGCAAAGAGAAAAAATCAAAGTTAGGGTATCAATTTAAAATAAACAAAGATGCTTTTTAATTAAATAGAACATTGCACGTTCAAACAATTAAATAGCATTGGTCTACTCCATTATTGAAATGCTTACAAGCTGAACTCAGTTTATCCACTGTTGCTACCAAAAGTTTCCTTGTGAAACTCAAAATAAGTTTGCTGTACACCAACTTTGGAGGAGCCGATAGAACTTCGGCCTCAATGGTGGAATCCTGCTCATCGCTGCATAAAAGCTCATCGGCTTCTTCAATGGATTGTGTAGTGACCGGAGGTTCTCCGAAGCTCATGTGGTTGTATTGCAATAATGAATCCTTGTCGAATTCATAACCTTGTTCTCTGGCTGCGTTAATCCATTTCTCAAACAGCCAAATAGGGTCCGAGCCTTGCAAACACGACGCATAAACGATTAATGAAGCAAGCTCCCGGGCGGCTTTAGGGCTGCAAAAGCGGTTACTTTTGTCGATTTTAGGAAGCACATCTCTGGATTTGTGAAATGATTGTTGGTCCTGGACCTGGAGTGCCATGGAAGAGAGTGAAGTTCGAGTTATGAGGCGTGCACGGAGTCGACGATTGGGCGGTGGAAAGCTCGGAAATGGAAGCTCCGGTGACTGGCGGCGTAATCGGAAATGGGTTTTGATGGTGTAATGACAGCTTAAAACACAGCCCAATTGGATTCCCTCTATCTTCCCCAAGACTTTTCCCCCTTTTTCTATCACAGAAGCACTGTTTAAATATTAAAAGGACAGCGCTTTTACCCTCCAAGAGAGCAGAACCCCCTTCACGTGCCCCCTTTAAAAAGCAAAAGGAAATGGAATTTGTTTTAGTTAGTGGGGTAGTGGCACGATGGAAGGGGAAATCAATTGTTTGTTGAGTAGTGTTTGAATATGTGAGGTAATGGTGGGGTAGTATATAAGGCATAAAAAAATAATAACAACAATAATAATAATAATAAATAAATAATATAATAAAAGGTTTTTGTAGATTCAGACAAAAATAGATGTCTATAGATGTCCCTCTTTGTACATTTTTGTGTTAACAAGAATAGGGCAAAGATGAAAAAAGACAATCAATTTTTGTTCGGTGCTTCTTGGAATTGGGCCTTTGTCTTCTTCTCGGTTTAAAGATTTCGGCTTGAAAATTCTTCCAAAAAGTAGTTCCTCGCTGTCATTGAGCTGAATGAAATCGAACTCGTAGGTCTTTGGCAGATAGCCCTTCTTGTCTTGAGCTATGCTGCAAATGATGGTGCCTTTGAGCTGAGTGTAAACGAACTCGAGGGTCTTTTTGTTTCAAGAGAAACATTTTCAAAGGGTTTATTTTTCAAAGAGAAACGATTTCAAAGGTTTTTTTTGTGTTTCAAGAGAAACGATTTCAAAGGTTTTTTTTTGTTTCAAGAGAAACTGTCTCTAGGGAGGCAAAATTTTAACATCACAAACTATTGGTTAGTGACCAAATTGTAAAGTTTCAGAATTTGGTGACTAAAGTAGAAGAATGGATTAGTTCAGTGATTTATTTAGAAGTATTTCCTAAAAGTTGTTAGTAATTATTAAAGGAACTAAATGGTAAAATGGTCATTTGATCATTTAAGGAATTAAAAATGTGATAGTGGGGATATATATTTTTACATGTGGGAGTGTAGGAAACCAAAAACAATGTTTCCAGAATTCTCTTCTCCTCCTTTCTTCTTTGTGCGTGAAGTTCTAGCTTAAAGGTGAGTTTCTTAATTAGTTGGTTATTTGTTGAATTAAAAGTTGGGTTATGATTCTTAGGTGATACTTAAGCTTAAGAAAAGCTTAAGTTATCTTAAAATCAAAAGATAAATGAGTTAGGGAAGATTAAAGATTTGGAGTTCTTGAGTGAATTTCCAGAATGGAGTTGATAAGTTGAACTTGAAGCTAAATTTGACTTGTCATCAGCTTAATTAAGAAGTATTAAGTGTTAGAATTGGATTTGAAACATGTGGAAAATAGGGTATGATTCTTGAAATTCCTAAAGAGAAGAGAATATTAAGGTTAAAGATGAGATAAATGAATATTAATGAGTTTAAGTATGTATATGTAAGTTAGGAATATGAAAGGGGTTGAAATATGAAGGATTTAATCCAAAAAGAATGAATTTTCGGGTTCAAAAAAAGGATTCTGGGTAGAGTGCATCGATGCATATTCATAGTGCACCGATGCATCAAGGTTAAAACCCAGAAATTGTTTGAAGGTGTATCGATGCACAGGTAGTGCATCGATGCACTCTTTTAATCTAAAAACATCGAATGCAATTGGTGCATCGATGCATAAGGCATGCATCGATGCATCCCAGTAATAAACAAACATCGAATGTATTTTATGCACCGATGCACATGTAGTGCATCGATGCACCGATAGGGAATGCATCGATACACTGTGCAGTGCATCGATGCATACCTTCATTAAAAGATGAAATGAGCTTTTCTTTTAGCCTAAGAAATGACAATTTAGAAGATATCAATTAGTATACTGATATGTATCAATGTTTATTATGATGTAGATATAGAATAAAGCTTGTTCCGGAACAATCTAAGGATTAAGATTGATTTAAAGCAAACAAGGCTGAGGTGAGTGCATATTCTCTAGTATATGTGGTTCAAGGGAAAATAAGACTTGTGATAAGTCTATTTTCAATAGTGAAAAACATGAATTCATAGAAGTATGTATTTGTATTTATATGTGTGCATGAGTATATGTGTTATTGATATGAATATGGTAAGTAAAAGGGATTAATGGTGATGATAAGAATAATAATAAGGATAATGAAATGATAGGTATATGTGAATATAGGTATTGATGTTTTTTGTATGTATTGTAAGATGATATGTTTATGTGATAACATGATAAGATGACAATGATTTACATGTCATATGAATACATGAGAAATGTTATGAGCCATATGAAAGAGAAAGTATATGTGATACATGAGGGTGAATCCTATGTTTATATGAATATGAACTCATATGAGAATTGACATGAACTACGTGATTACATGTATATGTGAATGAAACCATGAGCTTATATGAATATATGATATGGTTACATGAATATATAAAAGTATATAAAAGATAATGCCCATGTTATGTATCATGAGAGCTAGGGGTATAGTTGGCATATATGTATTCTTTGGAACATGTGTGAAGTCTGGTGAGACACATACTTGATCCTTGGCATATGTATATGATTCTTAAGGAATGATATGTGGTCCTTCGGGACATATATGTATTCTTTGGAACATGTGTGAAGTCTGGTGAGACACATACTTGATCCCTAGTATATGTATATGATTCTTAAGGAATGATATGTGGTCCTTATGGACATTATTATATAGCACTACGGTGCAATTCTACGCGACACTCCGGTGCAATTATATGTGGCACTTCGGTGCAATTATATGAGTTGTGGTGACAGCATTAGTGCACAACCTCTATGTACTCGCATATCTTTAGTTCTCACATGTGTATCATGGGCTATTAAATAGATAATATTAATAAAGTGATATGATAATATGTTTGTTTCCTTGTGGAATTTCATGTGTGATATTGATTGTACAAATGGTAACTTATAAGACCATATGATGAAAAGAATCAATGATAGTATATATATATAGTTTACATGACATGATATGTATATGTGCAATTGGTTATGGTATATGCTATATGATATGGACATAAGAAATCAAAGGAACATGAGATAAGAGATATGAATGATAATGACATATATGTATGCATATATTTGTTAAATGTAAAAGTATGAGTGGTATGAAATGATAGTAGTAATTGTTTAAGTATGATTATTAGTTACCATTTACCTTATATGTTTATATGCCTCACTAAGTCTTTGACTTAGCGTGTAAGTGATTTACACGTAGGTTTCGAGAAGAGTAAAGAGCAATGTAGAGCACGACAGGTCAATTCTCCTTACTAAAGATCAGATCAGAAAAGAGGTGAATAATATGTATTTTAGTATATAAAGTTCTAGTTGGCATGTTTTCAAAAGAATATATTGTTTAAACTATGAACAGTTTTATAAATGTTTTGAATACTTATATATAAATAAATAAGTGAAATATACATGCTCTGATTGGTTTTGTAATAATGAAAATGTCTTTTATGTAAATTAGTCATTTATATGTTATAAAAGTTTTAAATTACTCACTATTTTATACAAGTACATGTTTTAACAGGTCAATGTGACACCTCGGATTCGTATCCGGGTCGGATACGGGTTGGGGTGTTACATTTAATGGTATCAGAGCTACGGTTTAGCCGATTCTAGGCATCAATCGAAGTAAAAAGTGTTTTAAAAAGTATACATGCCAACATAAAGTGAATAATTTCTGATATGATAGTGTAAGGAGTGTATTGTCTTGCTAATAGAATTAAAATGTTATGTTATATTAGATGTATGATCATGAGAGCTTCCAAAGTGAAGCACAAGGTAATAGACTGAAGGTAATAGCATTCACATGCCCTGGCCAGGCAGGGAGAAGAGCGAAAAACCTCAGGAAGTGCCTGTATAAACTTAGGGAATGTCTTCACCATGTTGAAGAATATTCTGATGAATTTTCAATTTATATTTTTTTTAACTCATAGAATGAATGTATCGAATTAGTTGAAAAGTTAAGAGCACCCGAGTTCAAGGATGGATTTGAGGAAGGTTCTGTTGTTACAGACCTATGGTTAGATGATATGATAGAAGGTTTTTATTTCTCTAAAGAGGAGAAATTAAATTGAGTAGTTTTGTTACTACTTTGACAAGTTAGAGTATGGCAGATAAATGAAGCTCGAATATATGAGCTTGAAGCAAGGGAATTACCCATGCATGTGTATGAAAGTAAGTTTGATAAGTTAAGCAAATTTATTGTTGAATTGATTCTGATTAAAAAGGATACATGTGATTGATTGTTTAAGACTTGTTCCTTAAATTAAAAGAGTTTTACTGGTTTTGAAATTGTTCTCATTTCAAGAAATGGTTGATCGTGTTAAAGCTCTAGAGAGAGCTAAGAAAAAAGGATTGGAAAAAAAAATCTCAGATGATTAAGAAAATTAGTGCTTCATAGAATTTTAGCACCATCAAAGAAAGGTAGAGATTCTGGTTCAACTTTAAACCTGACATGAATTAGTTGTATTCTCCGTCAGAGAATCAAATCAGATGAGAGTTCGACAGACTCCAACAGTAGGTTTGATCTTGAAAAATTAAACAAAGAGTTAATTGAGGATAAGTCAGGGTTAAAGACAACCCTTGTGAATTGGGTTAAAAGCTCTTTTAGAAGTTATGTAAATCGAAGCAGAAAAAGTATTTTAAATGGATTAGATGAGTATTGAAATCTGGTGATTTATTTGAAACAAATGGAGGAATGGATTAAGTGCTTTGCTAGAGATTAAATAATGTAAAGGATAAGAAGTATTTTAAATGTATCAAGTGAGGTAAATACTGTTTTTTTATTTAAGATGGAAAGAGTTAGCGTGGGCTAACAAGATTATGGGACGGAATGTATTGAAATTACAAGATTTCAAGATATGGTAGGTTATGATAACCAAATATGAAGTGAATCAGGATACAGTTGTATACTGTGATTATAGTAAAGTGATAGAGTGAAGGAAGTGAGGATTCAAATGTTTGAGTAAAACTAAGGATTGATAAGAAGAGTTTAAGTATGGGTACATCAATGATCAGTTTATAAATAAAG